CTATACTCCCCTTAAGGGCATGCCCCAATGACCTAAAGACCTCAAATAGGCCTTAACTTTTAAAAGTTTTTACTACCAAAGGGAACAAGCATTTAAGTCTATGGGCTTTTGGAGGACATTCCAAACTATAGCAGGTTGTTTATTTGAAATCTTGTTCTGTTTTTTTGAGGTAGGTATTTATTGCAAAAACTTCCCTGTTAGTACCACTGCAGTAACTTTAGCTATGAAAGCACGATGGGTGTGTACATAAACATGCATCAATGGATAGGACTGAGTAATGACTATCTCATTCTCAAAATAGTTCAGATTCTTGGTGTGTGCAATATTGGTGTTGGTTGGATTTTACAATGTTGAACAAGGAAGAAATAAAACAAAGTTTAAAGTACAGTTACAAATAAGAATGTAAAGGTGGAGTATAACCTGTACAGAATATGGATGGGGAAAAACACTATATATAGGGTTCTAAAGAACATCTTAGTGTTAAGATGTTATAAAGCCAGACTTGCCTGGATTCAAATCTCTGTTCCACAACTTTGTCACTTTAACCTCTCTGTCTCAGTTTTCTATCTCTTAACTTGAGATACCATCTCACAGGGCTATTGTGGGAATTAAATGAGTTAATGCATATAATGTTCTTGTAACAGTGTTTAGTGCATTGATAGAAAAAAATAAGGGACAACTTAATGCAACATATTTCATTTATATTCAACTCAGTACAATATTTTTATATAGATTTTTTGATCTTTGTTGTACACAAGAGGGGAAAATAAGATTGATCATAGATTAAAAATTTTTTCTCATCAGGGAATGTAAATAACTATGGGGTGTAACAGTGATTGCTTGTAATTCCAGCTACTTGGGCAGATTCTATCTCCAAATTAAATTTTAGAAAGGGCTAGGGATATAGTTTAGTGGTCCCTGCATTCTATCCCTAGTACTAACCAAAAAAAGTACATTATTATAGGTGAACTTCTTCTAGAAGGCTGTACTGTATAGCATAGATTCTAGAGTTGAACTTAGCCTAAGACTGGGGTGAAAGTGGGTAAAGGAATCCTGATAAGTATCAAGTGTGAATCAGGTGTATAAGGTCACGTACCATTTCACTTGTTGTATTAGTCAGCTTTCCTATGACTGAGACAAAATACCTGACACACGCAACTTGAAAGATGAAGATTATTTGGCTCATGGGTTTTAGAGGATGCAGCTCATAGGTGGGCATCTTCAAGGCATAACTCGCATGGTGGAGGAAAGCTGCAACCCACGGCAGCCAGGAGACAAAGAGGGCATGACTTGGGACAAGAACACCTTTCTGGCTGTGCCCCTTGTGACTGGCCTCTTCCAGCCAGGCCCACTGACCACCTATTCTAGGGGGTATTTCAAACTGTAACATTTGCTAATAAACAGGCTGAAAGTTATGAAAGCCCAGTGTTCTCCTGAGGGACTTATAACAAATTAATGATAGCTGATCTATATTAAAATAGTACCTCCTTTTAATGATTGTTTCCCCTTTCAGCACAGAGAAAATAAAAGTAACGGAAAGCGATCATAGCATATGTGTAGCACAGCCATTCCCAGGGCCCAGATATTAAAATAAAAATGTTACCATTAATTTAAATGGTTTTTTTAAAAGGTCAAAATGAATTAGTATAGCATCATGTTATATACAAAAAAGGTCTTTATATATATATATGGAGATGTAGTCAGCCTAACCATATTTGCCCACTCATTGGCCTAACCTTAGGAAACTGCCTTAGCTCACACCGTACCCTGGACTGCCTGCTAAAATAGGTGGCCTAGTGGCTGTACTTAACCGTACATTCTTCTCAGGGATCCTCCATTTGCTAGCTTGAGCCATCAAAATCACCCTGTTGGCATTTAAGTCACAAGGAGGAACTAGCTAATGGGGAGAGGCAGTGGAGAGACAGATACTGGGTGCTGAGGTCCATGTTTCACAGTTCCCATGCTTTCCTACAATTTGAGGTGTATAGTCTTCAAACCCTCATCCCAGCTCTCCTCTTCTCCTTTCTTGGTTCATGGGGTTTTTATTCTTTACTATCAATTCCTGACCACGTATATTTGACTCTCTCTCCTTCAAACTGCTAAGTCAATGTACAGATATGCAAAAATAAGAATTGAGCCTACTACTCTGTGCTTAGTATTTGGGGACAGAATACAAACTAAATAGAATGAATATATTTAGATTAATACTTGAAAGTCCTATTTTCTCAAAATATAACAATTACCAAAGCTTGTTAATTTCTCAAATATTTTTCTCTCCACACTCAATCATTTCTTACATGGATTATAATGACCTCCTAAGTAATATTTTAAAAAATCAAAGATTTGAAAGTTATTTTAAGAACACTTAGGCTGGGGATGCAGTTTATCAGCCAAGTAAAGGTGAAGCCCTGAATTTTTTTTTTTTTTTTTTTGTCTTTTTGAGACAGGGTCTTGCTATGCAGTTCAGGCTGGCTTTGAGTTCACTTTGTAGACCAGGCTACAGTGATCCCCCTGCCTCAGCCTCCCAAGCGCTGGGATTACAGGTATGAGCCACCATACCCGGCTCTGAGCTCGATTCTTGATACCACCCCCCACACACACACATCTAGCTGGGCATGGTGGTGCATGCCTGTAATCCCAGCACTTGGGAGGCTGAGGCAGGAGGATCTCTGTGAGTTTGAGACTGAGCTACACAGTGAGTTCAAGGCCAGCCTGAACTGCAGAGTGACACCTTGTCTCAAAACAAAAACAAAACACACTCAAAAATTAAGTCTGTAGCTTAGTGATGGCAAATCTTTTAGCACTTCCAATGATGATAAAGTCAGCCATGGCATGTGTGCCATGGTTCGCTACCACTCTCTAGTTTGTACTTGTAATCCCAGCACTTGGGAGGCTGAGGTATGAAGATTTCAAGTTTGAGTCCTGCCTGAGCAATTTAGTGAGACCCTGTCTCAAAATAACAAGCTGGTGAGGATGTAACTAGGCAGGAAAGCTCTGGGTTCAATCCCAAGTACTACAACAAAGAAAATGAAAACAAAAATAAAGAACAAATCTCACTGTGGAAATACCTCACAGATGCCTGGCCTCTCATCTTGATATGCAAAGGTCCTCTCCTTGAGGACCTTTTACTAGTCAGTGCTGCTTTTACTACCTAGACAGGTCTTCTTTTTTCCATAAATTGTTTATAGCCCTTTCTTTAAGAGTAGGAGAATTTACTGGAGAAAATGGGGAATAGGAACAACTCCTGAGAGACGGGAGGGGTCCTGAATAGTTGCCCATAGCACTGTTGAATCCAGATGAAAATCACTAGTTTTTTTTGGAAGAACTCAGCAGTAACAGAAAAAAAAAATTTTTTTTTAAAAGCACAACATAAAGATACAAGTATAAATTTTTCAAGCTTCCAAGTTACTCAACCCAAGAACTTATTTCTCAATGCCGGTAGGATCAGTAAAAGTTTTACATACATACATACATACATACATAAATGCACCTGAAGCAGTATTTGCAGGTGGAGAAACAGGAAGATTTCACTGAAGGTCTGCCTAAAAAACCAAGACCTCAAGAACAAAAAATTAGCAAGCACAAGATTGAAAAGGCAGGAAAAGAGGAAGTATTCCAACAGTTTAAGACTGTGCGGAAGACAAAAACAAAATGTATTTAGGAAATCTCAAGTACTTCATTATGCTGTGAGTGCTAGGGTTTCTCCTTGTTTATGCTTAGGTGATAGGCTGTGCTCACTGTACTCTGGAAAGGCCCATAAGCACACCTCTACTTTTTTGAATCTAGGCCACAGAGACAAGCAATCAAGGATGGAGACTCTGCCTCTTGCGGTCTGTGGCAGCCTTCTTCACGGGTTCAGGACTCACTTCATGGTTGGCAGTTAATGCTGCTAAAATCTTTTTTTGGAAAGGGTCTTAATGTTTCATACCCCAAGATTTTACTCTGTGACCGTGGTAAGGACAAAATATCAGAACAATGCATTGTTTTTATGCATTGAGTAAGAACCTTTTTGCTTAAATGGGCAATATAAAGGCCATTTTCTACGTAGAGCTAAAATCATAAGGAACTAGATTTTACATCTTTAGCTTTGGCATATAGTTACTAGTATGAAATTTTGAAATCCTAAATTATGATCTCCTTTATCAAACAAAATGATTTACTTCTGATTTCTCTTTTGATAGAGGTTTAGAATTATACTAATAATTTCTATTAATTCACTGAAAAGGTTTGTCCTTATATTGTTTGATCAGTTTTTCATATTTATCTTAACAATACGCAATTTATTAACCACTGTTAATCAATTATCTTGTTTTGAAATTTTGTATCAATTTTTATTGTTTTTCTCTTTAAAATTAAAAAAAAGATACTGAAAGATGGGAAGCAAATTAAGTTTCTGGAAATTTTAAAACCAGTACTGTACTGCTGTCACCCAAAGTTATAATGTGCTCAATTTCTGGAGACTTTAGTTCCTCTTTTCAGGCTGATTATTTAATAAATTTTCCCTTCCAAAAAGATTGCAATAACTTAAATAGAAAATAGTTTTAGGCAGCAACTACCTAAAATATAGATGCTCTTGAGCATAAATTCTCAGTGAAGATGAAAACTGGTTCATTGGGCGGAGGGAATAATAGATATATACAGTCTATAAACAGATACACAGTGTATATGTGATATTAAAATTTCATGAGGAAGGGCAATAGAAAAAAATCTAGAAAAGGTTCTTTGGGGAAGTGACAAAGGCATAAGAAACCTTGCCATGGAAAATCTTTTGCTAATTCAGGAATACCTAAATTACCTCCATATGAATGGTAATTCAAAATTCCTCAATAAAATAAGAAATAATGTCTATTTCATTTCTAATCAATGTATGAGTACAGTACCTGTGAATCCCTCCAGTACTTTGGCCTTTGTTTCTCTAAGCCAAAGTCACTAAAATGGTTCAAGTATAAAGAAAACAGCTGGATTAAAAAAAGGTTTATAATTAAGTTTATAACACAGAGTACAAACCAAAAAAGTAAATTTATTTAAATTACTAAAATAGTTTTAGTCATTTACAGATCAGCTGCTACATTTTTCCTAAAAGATATAACATATTACTTTAAAATTATTTAGTTAACTGAAACATTTAATAAAAACATGTTTCTTCATATAATATGTATAAAATAATCCTCAAAAACTTGTTTTATAACCCTTTATAAAATAAATGAAATGATGTCTTCTGATTGTTAGGAAAAATTACAATATAGGGGTATAAATTTATGAATGCTGGTAATTCTAGTAGAAAGAAATCAGACCACACTGCAAGTTGTGAGGTAAATGATAAAGTCAATGTCTGGGTCTAGTACTCTAAAAACAGTATTTTCACTTAATAGCTTCTGGACAATTAAAAAAAAACACAAAAAATATATCTAGAATTATATTAAAGATGAGAAAAGTCAAGTTACACATTTAACATACTTTATATATGGTAAAGTCCACTATCTTTTTGGCTTGAGGCACTCAAATTTATTACATGCATAGTAAATCTTTATATTTGTTACAGAGTATGATTAAAGGACTTAAGACTGCAACAAGCGGACAAGCAGAAAATTAAATCCTTCGACAGTCCAGGATAGCTGGTGAACGAATGGCTTACAAAGTTCTGGAACTATTATTTTTTAATTCAAAACAAAAACTTCAGATTTTCACAAAATAAACTGCTCTGAATTTACCCTTAAGAGTCAAATGAGCAAATATAACTAAGTCTTCTAATATATATAGAATAAAATTTCTTGGGATAACCAAGAATTTCTTAGAGGGGGGGAAAAAGTACAAGAAGTCCCAACAGAATAAACACAAAAAAATCCCAATAGAATTCACCAAGATAAGTGTTTACATGTTTCACTAACCTATCTTAGTGGTTTACTGTAACATTTCATCTTGAAGAATCTTTTTACCTCTCCATTTCTTTCTTTATTCATTCCATATTTCCTCTCTTCCCTTCTCTCCTCCTCTCTGCCCTCCAAAAATCTAAACATGTACACAGATGACCTTTCATTACTTTTGTTCCTATATGAAGATGCTAAGGAACTCAGACCTAAATGACCTAAGAGGAAATATAATGGGAAAACCCATGGTTACAATTAAAGAGCTGCCTTACTAACTCAACAAACTTAAAAATCTAAGTTAAGTTAAAAAAAAAACAAGGCTGATTCACAGGAAAGGAGACAAATCTTTCAAACTATTCACGCTATAGCAATGATTCTGCCCAGAATCAAAACAGATCCTCGACGGGAATGCGTATAATTTGCACTCCTCTAGATACTCAACATTGCTCTGATGAGAAACAGAAATGATTCTCTTAAGTCACAGATAATTAGGATGGATAAATGATTTAGATGTTCCATGTTTTTGTAAGAACTTCACTTCTTTTAAAAAGAAACCAGTTCACTCAAAAAGTGCTTTGAATTTAGTCTCTGGTAAAAAAGTCTGAAAATTTCTCAGAATTTGAGACATGATTTTTTTTTTCTTCTTTGACTCCTTACAAGCAGATGCCTCTTTTCAGAGCATTTTCAGGTTGTACAGGCAGGACTAAGTGAGAAATACGGCTCCAAAGTCCATTCAGTTTGTCTGGGTCCATATGATTATAGGAACTGGGGGTGTTGGAGTTGGTGAACTTAACTTTGAGGAAATCTCTCACTTTTTCTTCAATTTCCTTTAGGCCTAGACTGGTTCCAAGGGTTTTCTCCTCCAACAGGACGGTCAGGACTAAGGCTACATCTTTGAAGACTGCAGTTTCATGGTCACAATATTTATAAAAGATCAAAGTAGAGCCCGCAGGCAGTGACTCAAAGCGGTGCACCACAGCTGCATTCTGGCCATTTGTGAAACCATTACTCAATTCCTGATCTACCTCCAGTTTGACGGCATCACTGTCTTGAGCAGCTTTGCCTGTCCCATCAATCCGGATGGCACGGACACTACGAAAGGAAGAATAGGCATCAGCGATTTGTTCACTCAGACACTTAAGTGCTTCTTCAGCATCTTGAGCAGCAGTGAGCAGCAAGATAGCAGGCTGAGGCCGAGGATGGGAGCTATTAAGATGTTTCTGAAGGAATGTCAGGCTTCTTTCCCACAGCTTCTCATCTTGACCTTGGTACTTATTCCTAAGTTGTTTCATCTGGTTCTGAAACATTTGAACAGCAGTAGTTTCTACCTCAGGAGTACGAAAAAAGAAAAATGTCCCAATGGCAAGAATTATCAGGCTAAGTAGGCACCAAAACCATTTCCTCTTGAAAAAATATTCATTTTGGGGCAGTTCAGATACTTCTGTTCAGAAAAAAAAAAAGAAATGACAGCTATAAATAATCATTTTCTTATGTTCAAGGGCAAGTGAATTTTAAAAATTAGGATTCATCTTTATAAACAGTAGGTAAAAGAAGCAGGACCTTAAAGAAGGAAGCCGACAAATCTCTTTCTTTGGAGAATAAAATAATTTATCACATTTTCAAATATCAAACCATAGGCCTGAAGTTATATGTATAAATATGAGTATCTCTTAAATGTGAAAGCAATAAAACATCTTTGAGAAAAATGTAGAATTTAAAACATGAAATGGCATAAATAAGTCAGAAATAACTATTTAAAATGCAAAACTATTACTACCACTGCTAAGAGCAGGGAGACAGAAGACATTAAAAATACTTTACACGTATTTTTAAATTTGGAAACTCAGCAATGCACGTGGCTAATTATCTAAGGTAAAATATCTCTGAGGTATGTAAGATGATAAAGAAAAGGATGCTATATAAGTTAATTTCATCCAACATCACAGTAGCTATCTGTCCCTTTCAATCAACTGTACTGAGGCCTTCTTTATCTTTCTGTGCATCCAAGTTAGCACTGGTAAAATTTAGTTTTGAATTCAAACCCTAGTTATTACTGGTAATAATTCCATCCATTTACATTTATATATAAGGGGTGATCAAAATATATGAATGTTTAAATTAAAAATATTTTATTACATTGCCACTGAATGAAAAATACATTGCCATTGAATCCCCCTCAAAATATTTTCCCTTGCTTTCAACACACTTATCCCATGGTTCTTGCCACTTTTGAAGCAGTTCTCCAACTACACTTTTGTGGCTTTATGAAGTATGATCAAAAACGGAGTGAATGCTGCTGCTGAGTGCCATCCAACACAAAGGGAGGCTCATGAAAACACCATGGTGCCGAATGTGGTGGCGCATGCCTGTAATCCCAGCACTCGGACTGTTGTGAGTTTGAGACCAGCTTGGGCTACAGAGTGAGCTCAAGGCCAGCCTGAACTGCATAGCGAGACCCTGTCTCAAAAAGACACTCCCCCGCCCGAGAAAAAACCACTATGGTGTGTCTTCATCTACCTTATTCACCTGACCTGACATCTCTCAACTTCTTGCTCTTTCCCAAACAGAAAATCACCAGGAAAGGTAAACTATCTAAATCAACAGAACATCAGTACAACTGATGACACTCATAAAAGAGGGCTTCCAGAACTGCTTTAGAGAGAGGCAAGAACAATGGGATAAGTGTGTTTAAAGCAAGGGATATTTTGAGGGAGATTAATGACAATGTGTCTTTTACTATCGTAAATTTAAAAAGCTTTCCTCAAATATTCACAGTATATTTCAGTCATCATTTGCAGTACTTACCAGTTTATATACACTTTCTCCTATACCAGTTTGTTTAATTAGCCAATGATAGCAGCAATAACATTTTTATATCTATTATTTATTGATTGACTGCTTTAGCCTGATAATTGTACTAGGGAACTTTTACAGCAGCAGTTCTCAAAGTGTGATTTGTGGGGTATCTACAGCTATTTCAATCAAAACCATGTACTGTAACAGCTGAATACAGAAGCAGATATGAGCCCAAGAAGATGTTAAGCCATGTATTAAAGACATTAGTAATGTTACTTTCTTACTAGATTTACTTTAAAATAAATTAATAAATATCTTAAGAATGTCTCTAACTTTACGTAAATAGGGATGGATAAGGATAATTCATTTTAAAAATGCTTCTATAAATTTTAAACATAACTACCAAGTGATCTAGGAATCCCACAGCTGGGTATACATCCAAAGGAAATGAAATCAGTGTGTTAAAGAGACATATGTTTTCCCATGTTTATTGTAGTACTATTCGTAATAGTCAAAAAGCAGAAGCCTAAGTGCTGCAGTGGATAGAAAAACGTGGAATACATACAATGGAATATTATTCAGCCATACAAACAATCAAATTCTATTATTTCCAACATTGCTAGAACTGGAGATCACTATCACTAAGTGAAATAGGTCAAGCACATAGAGACAAGTAGTGCATGATCTCACTAATATATGAAATCTGAAAAAACTGACCGCATGGACATTGAGGGTAAAATGGTGGTTGCCAGAGGCTTGGGAGAGCAGGTAAAAGTGAAGGGTAGAAAAAGATTGATAATGGGTACTAAGTCAGGGGTAGGAGTAAGACTTCTAGTATGCTATTGTACAGTAGGGTGCCCACAGATAGTGATACTATACTGCATATTATGCTATCTATTTCAGAAGTTTGAAGGATCTTGAATTTTTTAACCATAAAGAAATGATATATACTTGAGATAAATGCTTAATTTGACTTAGACATTATACTATATATATACACGTATGTATATATATGTGTGTGTGTGTTTGTATTGAAACAATACATGGTATGCCATAAAATTTTAATGCTTTTATATATCAGTTTTAAAAGTTAACTTGAATAATAATAAAAAAGCTCTTTACAGTCCTTAATTTTGCTAGTGAGAAGGGGCACTGAGATAAAAAATTTGAGAATCCTTGTTAATTTACTTTATTAGTACTCACCCAGGATAAGAAACAGGCTTAGGGAATAAAAGAAACTTGTCTCAAAGATGTATGCAAGGTAAGTTCCAATCTAGTTCAGACACTGGTGTGTTGACTCCAAAACCCACTGTCATCTCCTTATGCCATGCTGTGTGCAGTGTGTCTCCTGATTCAGTACTGGTCACTCAGTTACCCTTTATAATAGCTTTGCTTATTAACTTTTATTTTTGGTCTTATTGACAATAAAATAAAAGGGAAAACTAGATGTGGTTTTACATAGTCTGCCCATAAAGAATTTCACTGCTAGTATAGTAGTTTCTCCTCTGAAATGCTTAAAATATGATTCAAATAGAAGTTAGTCATACTGCTGTCAGGACATTTAAAAATAACTATAGACCACCAAGGTTAAGAGATTCATTTAATAATTGAACAGACAAACTTACGTTTGCTGGAGGGTGACAGAAGCTGGTTTCCAAGCTCTGACATCTGAATGCTGCCACCTAATGATCAAATAATTACAAAAGACTATCAATTTATGTTTTATAATTTGAAAATGTATTTCTAGTAGAGAAAGAAGATACAAATTCCACCAAGAGAAAAGGCACAGGTTAGTCGGAAGCAGAAGAAAAAGATTATTTGAATGCCCATTTACACTGAAAGCTCCTTGAGACACAAGACATATTTCTTTCACAGTTATTCAGAGTGTGTAGTGATCTAATACAATACTTAAGTTTTGAGAGAAAACTTTGAAGTATTTGACCCATGATTATCTAATCTGGTACAAAGTTAAGTGGACAAGGAAAATAAGCACACCATAATAAAAGGAAACAGATACCATCTGCAAAATGGCCATATATTGAACTCTTGACTGGTGAAGATGCTGTAAATAGGGGGAAAAAGGACAAAATGTGCATTATTGATTAGTAATCTATCTGGATAAGGTGTTTCAATATCAAACTCAATCTTAATCCTCACTAGTCCACTTTAAATTGACTCAACAGTTGCTTTCAGGTTTCTGACAATTTCAAACCTTAGTAATATTTCAAAAAATTTTATTTAAAAACTTTCCATCATTTCTATTCACAGACAAAATTCTGTTTTAGGTTTGTGATTAAACAACAGAGTTCAAAAATAATGTTTTCACTTCACCAAATCTTTATCATTATTTTAGAAAATATTTAAAACTCTCCCAGCCTTTCTCCTTTCCCCTTCCATCTTTCTTAGCAGGACAGCAGGTTTTGACATGTAAGAAAGAGCAAATGGAGGAAAACAGCCAGGGTTCAGAAGGTAAAAAGGCTGAGTTACCTCAATGCTATGACCTGCACTGGTCAGGACTGCCATTGATCATTGTCTTGAGTTTTATAACTTTTGTAAATATAACTGATTTTCCTGGAATGTAGTAACAGCACTAGAAACACTAGACTCACAAGAGGAATAAAATTAGCATTGCTAAGATACAGCAATAGCCTCATTTTTGATCATATGATAAGAAATCTGAAAAGATCATATGAAAAGAAAAAATGACATCAACCCTAACTTCAAGAGGCATATTGGTTTTTAATTACTACTTTAACTTAGTAAGTTCGTATTTTAGAGGTTTCTAAGGGCATTAAAATTATAATTGCATTACTAAAACAATACAAAACCAAAAATCCCAAACCATCAGATGTTTATCTCAAATACTTTACTATATGTTTGCAAAGATCAAATGAGATACTACATATGAAATGATGTGAAGTGTCTATGATGAATTATTATTATGTACTATACACAATAGTTACATAATTCCTAGAATGCAAACACAAACAGTATGGTACATAAACACTGTTGATCTAAAAGGTAAACGCTATCCCTCTTATTAAAATCAATTAGAAACAGTAACAGTAATCATTAGATAGTAATCTTGAAAAATATCTTAAAAGATAAAGCTATATGATATGTTTAGACTTTAAAAATGTTCACATATATAAGCTCATTATAATAACTCAGTTACAAACATTATTGTCCCTAAGGTAAGTAAATCAGGCTTCACAAAGGTTAGTGACTTCACCAAGCTCTTTCAATTAGCAAGGGAAGAGTTAGGTCTGGAACCCCGGTGCTTTAACTCCAAACTCTATCTTCTTTTCTCCATACCAATTTTAGAAACAGGTTCTGAACCTGTATTAATAATTTTGTATCTCTATAGGCATATTCTTTCCTATTCTCACTGTTTTATCAATTTGCAAATGGGAAAAAGTAAAAATGGTGGCTCCCTATTTCCCAAAAGGCTATGATGTAGGCAGAAACCTGACCTGGGACTGTTTTACCTAGGGAACTGGTACAATGGTGTGACAATAAGAATCCAAAAGTATTTGAACACTCCAATTTAAAAATGCCTCTTTTCTCATTACAGCAGACAGAAATGTGAAATTATGAGAATGATGTGGCCAGGGGTGGTGGTACACTTGGAAGCTGAGGCAGGACTGGTGCCAGTTCAAGGCCAGCCTGAAATACATAGCGAGAGCCTGTTCTCAACAAAACAAAACAACAAAAAAAGAGAATGAGACATGAAATTTGGAATCGTAAAAAAATTTTAAAATGACCTTGCATTGGAAGAGAAATCTATGATAAAGCCATTAGAAAATCACTGCATTCTTCTATTGAAAGTACTTTTTCCTTTTCATTGTTCTACCCTTAAGACTTTATATAGTTAAAAGTCTAAAAATTCTGTTACATGCATATTTCCTATATGTTGCTTCTACATAACTCTCAGAGCTCAATATAGTACTTAGGTATGGTAGATAGTTACAGGTGTTTAAGGTATAATATACTAAAGACAAAGTTGGAATGTATACAGATAAGGTTCTAAAATTTAGCTAAAATTTACTAACTAAAAAGATCTATTTCTAAAAAAAAAAGATTTCTGTGATTTAATCAGATGCTCAATTATTTTCCTTTCTGTAATGGACAGTATCTTACTAGAGGAAATAAAAGTTATAAAAACATTTTCTGGTTAAAATCATATTAGAGTGATACATGCATACCTATGTTTATAGCAGCACAATTTATAATAGCTAGATCTTGAAAACAGCATATATGTCTATCAACAGTTGAATGGATAAGGAAAATGTGCTATTTATACACAATGCAATACTACACTGTCATAAATTAAGATAAACTTAAGGAATTTGTAGGTAAATGGATGCAAACTGAGATCATAAAGTCAAATGAAGTAAGTCAGATGCAAAGCTCAAACATCTATCAATCTATCTATGTACACACACACACATACACACACACA